TTTTTTTTTTAATCTTTTTTTTTTAGATTTTATCTATTTATTTTTAAATATTTTATTTATTTATTTGACAGAGAGAGACACAGCAGAGAGAGGGAACACAAGCAGGGGGAGTGGGAGAGGGAGAAGCAGGCTTCCCGCTGAGCAGGGAGCCCGATGCGGGACTCGATCCCAGGACCCCGGGACCATGACCCGAGCAGAAGGCAGACACCCAACGACTGAGCCACCCAGGCGCCCAACATTTTTATTTCTTTGACACATACAGAGAAGCAAAAAATTATTGAATGATTCCAATTCTATGAGCTACCTAGAACAGGCAAATTCACAAAGACCGTGCGTGGAATTGAGGTTACCAGGGGCTCGCGGGGCGGCAATGGGCAGCTGATGTCTGATGGGTACAGGGTCTTTGTGGGGGATGACGGAAGAGTTCTGGAGATGGAGACTGGTGATGGTCGTGCAAGGCTGGGAGTACACGTTATGTCACTGCTGTTGTCGGAATGTTTATGTCCCGCCAAATTCCTATATTGAAATCCCAACCCAAAATGGGATGGCATTAGGAAGTGGGGCCTTTGGGCATGATTCAAGGGGGTGGCTCCCCCCTCACCAATGGGATCAGTGTCCTTCTCAGAGACCCCGCGGAGCCCCCCCATCCTTCCTGCCACCTGAAGGTATAATGAGAAGTCTGAGATCCAGAAGAGCCTCCCACCCACCTGTACGGGCACCCTGACCTCATACACCCAGCCTCCAGAACCGCAAGAAAGGCTTCCCTGGAGTGTTCAGCTCATTCAGTCTGTGATATCCTGCTGCAACAGACCAGACAGCCCCTGAACTGTGCACTTAAAAATGATGAAAAGGACAAATTTTCTATCATGTATATTTTGCCATCATTAAAGATAAAAAATAAAAATATTTAACTTAAAAGAAGACTAAGATCAGTATCTCCCCCAAATTTCACCACTCCAGAGACAATCACCATGAACATTTGCCTGTACATCCTTCCAGAGACAAACAGAGGGGAGGATATATTTTACAAAGAGCATGGTTTGGTAATGCTTTTGAGAAGTATCATATTTTCACATGGCAATAAATGCACATCGCTCCCCTATCTTTTTGGTAGCCCCATGGTATTCCAGTGCATAGATATGCAGGTCTTCCCTGCCACCCAAAAGCAGAGGGCTCCTATGAACGCATAAAGCAAAGGAACAATTACCATTAATTTATATGGGAAAATGTGTTAGCGTTCCCAGACCCCAAAATAACCTCTCTTAGGTTTTTCTGATACCTCGGGAAACATCTTGCTAACAGGTACACATGGGATCGATTCCCGCATCGGGCTCCTTGCTCAGCTTCTCCCTTTCCCTCTGCTGCTCCCCCAACTTGTGCTCTCTCTCTCTCTCTCTGATAAATAAATAAATAAAATATTTTTTTAAAAAATCCTCTTCGGATTTCTTTCTGTTAGCAAAACAGGTACTAACGTAGATCTTTCATAAAAACCAAGCGGCCTAAGGCAAACAACTTTGGAAAAGCGAGGGATACCTGGACCATAATTAACATGTTTGCTTTTTGTTGGGGTCTAGTCTCCATTTCGGTGGTTGTTATTATTGCAAAGAATGCTGCAAGGGGCATCCCTGTGCACATATTTTTTGCACTTGTCCAATTATATCCTTAGGATAAGATTTCCTACCTGTGCAATTGCTGAGTCAGGAACTCCCTCGGGAGGACTGTCAACAGAGCTTTAGGAGTAAAATCACAGCAGGGATGTCGAATTCTGCCATACAAAGGTCTCTTTCACCACGTGGACTTTTCTCGGCTTTCACTTGGGTGTCCGTGGCATTGCATAGCAGTTCAGGAAAGTAGGGACTGTCCTTTCCATAAGAAACCAGCCCCCTCCCTCCCCACCGCCCTGGCCACCTCCTCAGGGAACACACCACGCCTGTGTCATAAAAAGAAGCCGCTATACCAGGAAGGCAGACGGCGGCTCGGCTAATATCTGCTGACTGCCCCTTCGCTAGCAGGAAAGATCACAGCAGAATTCCAGGATGGCCCAGTGCCACTCATGCAGTTGTTCAGCATTTATCACTGGTCACAGCCTAGATGTGACAGCCACGAGCAGGTGCACTCAGTTTCCTCACCTAGCCAAAGGACAGCCTCTCTCCAAAGCGTTATGATCGGCCATTCACGGGCCATCAGAATACTCACTCCCAAATCTGCCAGGGCACCTTTTATCTTAACCAATGAGCAGCAGATGGCTGCCTGAGTGCTGTGTACCAGGCTCCCGTCTGAACGCACGTCACAATATCACCAGGAGATAGTTAGAACTGCCATCTTACACTTGGGGAAACTGAGCCTCAGAGGCCTTACATGACTGTTTAACTGCAGCCTAAAGCCTATCCTAGGTTGCCTTCCCCCCGAAGTTAACCCTAAAACAAGGATCCCAATGCAAGTGGAAGAGGGCTGGAAAGTGAAACAGGGAAGGGACAGCAGCCTGTGAAGGAAGCCAGTTACAAGGCAACTCTGATGGACAACATAGCACAAGCCCCCACGCCACCCCAGCAGAGAAGCAAGGGAGCTGGGGTATTTATATACCTTCTCTCATCAGTCGCTGGTTGAGGCCAAGGGAACACAGGAAGGATGCTGACAGTATCTACCACATTGCCCAATATCGTGCGGCTGGAAATGGTAAGATGCCATTCAAACTCCAAATCCAATACTCTGCATTACTGGTTCAGAAATGAGCAGTTGATCAAACACTTAACTGAGTGCCAACTAGGGGGAAATGTGACACTGGTGAAATAAGCCTACTTGGCCAAATCACTTTGGATTGAGATGTCCAAGGACAGCACAGGTATCTTTTTGTCAAGTTTTATCAATGGGATGAATAGGAAAAGCCCTTCTATGTCACTTTGCTCATCTCACGGGAATTAGCCAAGAGCCCTTCCCTGCCCCCTTCTTCGGCGTAAGGTTTCCCTCTCTGAATCAGCCACAGCTGGCTTGGGCAGGAGTCCTGCAGCCTCAAGCTGTCATCCCAAGCAGATACATCAACCTGTGATTATAGGCTCCAGAGTCTGCCTGCCATCCCAGGAATGATCAAAAATGACCCACTGGACGCCCCGCCGGCTGAGTCTGGAGGATGTCCCTGTTTACTGTGCCCTGCTTCCCCTGTGCCTCCCGCCCTACCCTCTCCCTCCAACTTCACATACCCTCCATGGGAACCCACAAGTACGCCAAAGAACTGAAACCAGCAATCACAGGTCTGCAGGAGCTTACCCCACCTTAAGGACTCACTTAAAAGTCTTCTGGAGATGCAGGGAGGTGTTTAAATAGGACAGTGTGTCATTAGGGTAAATCACTGGACCATATTGTAAGGAGTGGTGGGAGAAACAGGGAGGTGGCAGAAGGGGACCGCTGCCCTAGTTTTAGAAACCCAGTGGTAGCAGCTCTTAGCAGCTCTATCTTGAAGTCAAAGACTGGCCGCCCTGTTCTGTTCCGAGCACACTGCTGAGACCTGCCCGGGTTCTCACCCTGGGGGAGAGAAGGAGACATGGGCAAGTCCCAGTCCCTTTCACGCACTCCCAGCAGGATTCTCTGGCAGTCGGGTCTCCCAGTGAGGACACCTCCGGCCCGAGGATCCTAGGGAGTACTGAAGGCAATCATCCGGCCAAGTTCTTTTGTGCTGTGGGCCAGCCATCGGCCCTCCAGCAGAGGTGCCAGGATGTGCAGTGCTGGGCACCTCTCCAGCCAAGTCTCTTGGCCATTCCTAAGCAGCTCACGCACAGAAGGCAGACACGAAGCTTGGCTCCGGGGCCAATAGACCAAGAAATCAAAGCAAAACCAGGGGGTGACTGAAAGGTCCCTGGCAGGACAGCGCGGCTGAGAAACGGAAGGCTTGAGGGATGGAAAACAGGTGTAGGGCATCTACCACTGCTAAGTGACCTCTAGGAGAACACAAACTGGAGAGAGGGCCTGCGGCCCTGAACAGAAGCTGTGTAGAAATGCAGAGACGGGGGCTCTGGAGCCCCGGGGGCGGGATAAGATCCCCCTCACGAAGATGGGGATCCTGCCACCCGAGGCACAGGTACACACGCCCGGGGCCCACGCAGTCAGGTGCAGAGGGCACCCCTTCCCCACCCCACCCCCGCCTTCCCCTGGAGGGGGGCATGCCCAGGGGACCCACCCAGGTCACCTGGCCTCCTTTCAGCCAGGCTCCCTAAAGATGCCCCTCATTCTAACTGGATTTCAACAGCACAAAAATGATAGCAAGGAACATGGGATACATCTCGGCTCTACCCCAGCGAGATCATCCTGTCTCCCGATAGGCCACCCCTGCTCTCCTGTGTTCTGAAAGGGGGGGTCTGGTTGTGAGTCCTGGGCACACAGCCTCCCCAGCCCAGCCCACACTCCCAGGTGCCCACGCGGGCGACATTTCTGGCTCCCTTCCTTCTAGCCAGGGCAAGAACCACCTACCATCCTTCCCAAGCTACCCCACCTCTCCGAGCTCAGCCACCACGTGAGGCCCTCTTTTAGTGGGCTGCCCGGTCCAGAGGAGAAAGCACAGCTGGTGCCCACACTCACCACCCCACTCCAGGGTCTCTGATCCCAAGTGGGCACCTCCCAGGCTGACTCCACACTTAGTCCCTGGGACACCGCCTTTGGACACATGTTAAAACAAAACAAAACGAAAAAACACCTCCCCTCAAAAAGCCCAATCTATCTTAGCCATGAGAAGTGTCTTTAATTCCTCAGACCACCTGCAGAAAAAGTTCCCAGTAAATAAGTGCAGACTGGTAAGTAAAATAAATCCAACCCCAGATTCCTTCTCCAGAAGCTCTGGAAACAAGGCCCCTGGCTCTGAATCCCAGCTGTTTAAAAGAATCATTGTTTCCAATTCTTTCCTCCCATTGTACCAAGATCAGCTGGGGCAGGAACAGAGTCCCACTCCAGGATGAATTATTATTTGGCAGCTCCCTGGTTCAAGTTTTCATTCATCACATGAAGGTACTTACTAGAAACCTGGCCCACGCTAGTCACCGCCTCCGTCCTCTGGGAGAACCCGGATTCCCGACACCTGGGAATAAAGTCCGTGCAGCATTGAGAAGCGCAGCGCTGGGCTCCTGCTGTCACTTTAGTGAGTGGCAGAGGTGTGCGAACAACCCAGGAGCCACAGAGAGCCCCACAGTAAGATGGAGCCCTCCGTCGCCCTGCCGGGCCACCGCGCTGCTCCGAGCTGTCCCTAGGGTTCTCCCAGTTTAAGAGCTGAATGCAAAGCAGGCGCCCGAAATGCAGAAGTGCCTGTGTCGCCCAAGGAGCCTGCCCCTCTCGGGCGAGAGAGGACGCAAAGCTGAGGTCCCCAACGACCTCGGCGCTAGCTGGGGAGGCGGGCGGGGAGACCGCAACGGGAAGTGCCACGAGGACCAAGGGCCCCAGCGCCCCCGCGCCCTTCAGAAGGGGCCTCGGGCGCGCCGCCTGCCCCCGCCGGGTGCTGGAACCCGCCTCTGGGGAACCGACCGTTGGGCAGGGAAGACGGGGACCCGCTTGGGGTCGGGCACTCCCCCACGCTGTCCGGGCCTCCCAGCCCTGCACCTGCTGCCGGGCCCCAGCTCGCCAGGGAGTCCCGGGAACCCCGGGGATGGGGCGGGGGCGCCTTCCTGTCGCCGCCCTTGGTGCGGAGGGAAGGAAGGACCCCCAGGGGTCGCAGGGGGAAGACGAGCTTGGAGCCACAACTTTCTCCGGCCAGAGGCTGGGCGCGCAGGGGCTGGCTCCTCCGCGGCCCCTGGGGGCTCCGCACGCCCGGGAACCCCCGGCGGCCCCGGGAGGAGAGAGGAGACCAGGGCAGGCGAGGACTGAGGCGCTGACCTGGACCAGGCTGGGAACACCGCGGGAAAACTTTCCGCGAAGCTGAAGGGAGGCCGGGGAGAGAGGACCGGCCCGCGCCCGGCACCTTGCGCCCCACATCCCGCGCCCGGTGCCCCGCGCCCCGAACCTTGCCTGCGTCCAGAGCCGGATGCATCGCCCGCGGAGTTGGAAGGTGGGGGCGCCTCGGCACGGGGGTGGGGGGGGCGTTGCTCCAGCCCGAGTCCGGGTCTGCGAGCGGCGGGCCCGGCTCAAATCCAGCCCCGCAGCGCAGGCGGCGGCCGCGCGATTGGGGGTCGGGCGCCCCGCCCTCCTCGCCTCCCCTCCGCCCCTCCCGCCCTCTCTCCCGCCCCCCTGCCTTTATCCGTCCCTACCGCGTCCGATCGGCCTCTCTCCCCGTCTTTCTCTAGCTCTCCATCTCTCCCCCGCCCCTCTTCCCTCGCCTTTCTTCCTCCCCGCGTCTCCCGCCCTCCCTCCTCCCCTCCCCTCCCCTCCTCCTGGGGGGCGGAGCCTCTCCCCTCCCTCCCAGACAATGCTGGGGCTGCGCGTCCCCTCCTTCTCCTCCTTCCCTTCTTGCGAGTCGGGGCTCGGGCTGCCAGCGCTTCTTCCGGGCTGGGGAGGCGGGGAGGGGGTAGGAGTGCAGGGGTGGAGAGGATGGACTGGCTCCCCTCACCCCATTCGCCAATGCCCTCTTCAAGCCGGATGGAGTCTTGGCCCAAGTCCCTTGGCTCGCCCCGCACTGTGACAGCCACTCCCAGGGAACAGTCACACTGCCTCGCAGAGCCCACCTCGAGCGCCCCGGATTCCCCAGACAGTGTGGGATTCATTTTCTAACACCCCGCCTTATTCCAAAAGGGGTTTGAGCTGAGCGCGGGCTAAGCAAGCCCCCTTCGACAGGCGGGTGGGCAGACGTTACCGTGAGTGAAGGAGGCCAAGTTTCTTTGTCCACCTCTCACCTCCCTCTCTCATCCATCCCTGGACGGAGGACTCTCAGTGCAGAGGAAGGCTTAGAGCACCCGAGCTGCGGGGCCCCTTATCTATTTCCTTCCTCTTATCACAACCCCCCACCACCACCAAATACATGCCGCAACCCTGCAGGGTGAGTCTCCCTGTGTCTAAAAGGAAGGGAGCCTAATGGTTAATGGGTAGCCAACCCCCAGGGTACAGCCGGCTCTGCTCATCCCTCCTAAAAGCCAAACATTCTTTACTAAATTCATTGTTTGGATCTTGGAATGTGTCTCCCTTAGAAACAATGTTATAAATGGTGATGTGCTTCCCAGCCCAGCCACAAAAGCCTTTGAACCCAAAATGCAGCTGTAGGGTGGTGCTGCAAACTGTGTCAGCTACCCTGGAACAAGAAGACCACTGATCGGCGTTTTGTGTAGAAAAAAAAAATTATCTACTTGTACTTTCCCCTTGACCTATAAACACAAAGCTCTCCCATTAATATTCTCCCCTACCCCTCAGCCACTACTCTGTATTGGTAAGCTTCTTTCCTTTGCAGGTAACATGAACACCATCAGGGGACTGTGTTCTGAGGACATGGTGTTTTCTCTAGGACCTCAGGTCAGAACTGCAGGGAGAGCTCAGTAAGAGGCACATCCAGAGCCTGGAGGGCTTCCAGGAACCCAGGAAGTCTTCTCTGAGAGGCCAGCCTTGCGAGCTGGAATCCCTTAGTCGCTACTCCAATCTCCCGAGAGAAGCTCATTGGCCCAGCTCGGGTCAGGTGACCATCCTATGACCAATCAGCTGAGGTGGGTGACTCCTCTTGGGCAAACTGCGGGCAGGAATCCTGCCCTTAGGCGCTGTTTAAAACACAATCCAGCCCTTGGGGCCCCTGTTTGGCTCAGTGGGTTAAGCATCAGACTCTTGGTTTCTGCTGAGGTCACGATCTCAGGATCCTGGGATCAAGCCCCGGTTGTGTTCCGCACTCCTCTGGGAATGTGCAGGAGATTTTCTCTCTCTTCCTCTGCCCACCCCCACTCTCTCTCGCTTTCTGTGTAAAATCTTTAAAAAAAAAAAAAAACAAAACAAAACAGAATTCATTCCCTTCTACTTATATTTTCCATCTTGCTGAATAAATTGATTAATTCAAGGTACCAGAAAACATCTTTCTTTTCATCAATTTCCCCATACAGAAGCCACAGAAGAGAAAGGAAAAGGTTCTTATCCTTCCAGGGAGTGTAGGGATGATACATCTGTACAGATTTAATGCTTCGCAAATATTAAACTGATACATGAAAGCCCACCCTCAAAACGATCTTTTCTTGCCACCGTCCCCCCCTGGGGACTGGCCCAAGAGGCACATGGCTCCAGGGAAGCAGCAGATAACCATTGTCTAGAACCAGTTCTCCAAGAGAAACACAGTGCAAGCCATGGGCGCAATTACAATTTTCTAGCTACATTAAAAAAAAAAAAAGCCAAGTGAAATTAATTTTAATATATTTTATTTAACCCAATATATTCAAAATATTACCATTTCAACATGTAAACAATATAAAGACATTACTCATGAGGTATTTTGCATTCTAGTGGTGTACTAAGGCTGAAATTGGGTGTGTATTTCCACTTCAGCACATCTCAATTCGGACGTTAAATTTTCATCACAAACACTTGATCTGCATTTAGGCTTTATAAAATTTCTATCTGAAAAAGTCGAGTCACATACCCAAGTTGTTCCAGACACACTCTAAAGTTACCCAATAACTGAACTGAGTATATCAGTTTTTACATTTAAATTGTACACCCATGTGGCTTGTGGCTACCATATTGGGACAGTGCAAATTTAGAGAGCCAGGAAGCCACTGACTGACTCAGAGTCTCAAAATCGACTTCCCTCATCTCTTTAGCAAAGCTAGTGGCAGGAATGTCAAGCATGGCCAGAGAGAAAATGATTTTCCAAATTCCTTATGTCTCCACAGAACATCGCAAGAGGCAGGCTTTGCCACTAGATCAGAGTTCTACCACACGCCTGGGGAGAAGGAAGGTATGCAGAGAAGAAATGGAGGCCCAAAGCCCACTCTTAGGTTCCCAGTGGATTCTAGGAGAAGAGAGGAAGAAGCAGGAGACAGACAGACAGTCGGAAGGAAAGGTTGCATCCTCCCTGATTGTGACCTTTGACCAGAGTGAGGAGGCATGTCACTGGGTTAAGGGAAGTTCTGAGGAGATTGCCACGTGGGCTGCCTACCTCCTTCTCCCCTGTTCTCGGGAACTGACCTAGGAGAGGGGGCCGCCTCTTTAAAGTCAACTTAGTGGACCACCATGGTTATACAGAGATAGGGCCTGGATTTAGTTTCTGGAGTCACCTGTAAGTGCTGTGTGGCACAGACATGATGCAGAAGTTCCCACCTGCTCCCCAGGACCAGGGGCCTCAGAAGGAGGCTAACTTGTGAGTCCCAGGCTTTCCATGGGAACTGTCTTAGTCTGAGTTCTCTCAAAAACAGAACCTGAGATAAGGACTTGGGTGCCTCCCTTACTTGGAGTTGATCCCAGAAAGCAAAGAAGTGAGACAGGCCTGGAGGAGAAGCTAATAAAGGGTGTACAACGGGGGCTCCGTTCCTCTGGGGTCCCTTTGAGGAACTGTGTGAAACATGCCTCAGAACTGTCCTCTCTGAAGGTCAGGGGGCTGGGGCATTTATCTCATCCCAGTTGAGGATGACTCCCAGGAAAGCTTACTTCTTCTTACTTCCTGGTTGTGTGGACTTCTTTGGCCTCAAGGAAACATCTGAGGCAGAAAAGCAGGAGCCACTGCCTTTGTCACTGGAGGTGTGATGAGTCGTTGTGCATGAAGCTGTCCACCACAGCTCTGCCGGGGTGAGGGGGGCTGAGGGGGTGTGACACAGAACACACAAATCATCTGCTCTAAGACCCAGCGTGGAGAGGGGCAAGCGGACCCTGGAGGCTAGGTCAGGGGCTGACAGGAGGACGTGACGGGGACTCCAAGGGAACACTGGTGAGAGAACATTGGTTAACGTCTTCGTCGGGCAAGTCAGGGAGCACTGCAGAACTCTGAAGGAGAAGGGAGCACCCAGTCCATGAGGTACACAAGCCACAGGCATCAGCGGTCAAACACTCAGGAGTGGGGCCATCACCCCTCAGCGTTCTGCTTTCCAGGGATGATCCAGAGCAGACTTTCTGCAGGGAGGCCCAGGGAAGACCCAGAGGCATCATCTCACATTCCACCACAGGAAGAACTGGGGAAGTCTCTAAGGAGACCAGAGAGACTGTTTGGATTATTGCCTCAGACTCCATTTTTTTCCATCTGCTATCCAGGAGGTAAGAATCTACAAAAGAATATCTAATGAGTTGTAGAGAAAGAAGACTAAGGGAGGTCTGCCACTGGGCCCCAAATATATCTGGACTTGTCTGGCACACTAGCATGGTGGGCTGGCTGGAAATCTATTTGCTTGGGAGGCAAAAAAAGTCCTCCTGGGAGATCATTTTCATTCCAAGAAAAGAAGAAACCATGTTTGGTTTGGTCCAGTAACAGAGTTTTAGTTGCCAGAAGGAAGATGAAATTGTCCCTCAACTCTGCCCCCAACTTGGCCCTCCGGACACACCAGGGATCCTAGGAAGGTAGAAGCTCTATGTTACAACTCAAAGAACTGTTTCATAAACTGCAGGGAGACTCTGGGGTCCAAGCAGCTATGCACGGGGGACCCTCCTGCTAAGTAACACTTGAGAGACCTACACTCCACTCAGCTTCTCCATTTCAAGGGCTTGGTATGTTGACATTACCCAGAAAGTGGTAGATGGATTACCACAACAGTCACAATTATTCCCCTCCCTGCAAATATTTGGCAGTTCCTCCCACAAAAAGGGGGAGCCTACTTCCCACCTTGAATCTGGGTTGACACTGTTGCTTTGGCCAATAGAATGTGGCAGAAGTCACACTGTACCTTTTCAGAGCCTGACATCAAGAAGCCTTGCATTCTTCTCTCTCCACTGGAACATTACTCTGCCATGTGAGTAAGCCTGAGCTAGCCTGCTGGAGGGTGAGAGATCTCATGACCCAGAGCCAAAGCAACCCAGCTGTCCCAGCCAAGGCCCCCCAGACATGTGAAAGATCCAACCAAAATCCATAAAACCCAATTCAGAGTTGACCGCTGATGCATGAAGGAGCCCAGCTAAGTCTAGCCCAGATAGCCAAACAGTACAAGCATGAGCTAAATACATGGTTGTCATCTTAAGCCACTCAGGTCCGCGTTGTTCCTTATACAGCAGTGGCTGTTAAAGAACTTAATAGGATAAAAAAAAAATGATAATTCTGGGCAGTGATGGGT